TGGACTACAAACCTTTTCAGTGGATACAGCACTAGCTGTTTTCCCCTAAAAATTTATCATCTGGTGACCATTTTTGTTTTTTTTGGCCAGTTACTGCTTGGTCTTCCTATTTTGAGTCAACGAACTATCACATGGTCAGCCCGACTGTTCGATTTCTAGAAAAAGGCTCATCACTATCAAACATCCCCACGATTTTGATGGAAATAAGATGCGTGGCGCGACCCAGCGTTGGCCTCCATACCCATTCCCACCAATCTAACAACAAATCTTAGGTGTAAAATGGTTGTAGCAAGGAGTAATTATCCACAATAGGAACTCCCGTAATCGTGCATCAAAACGGAAAAGGTGTGCAGATTGCGTGGGTTCCGAGGTAACTCCCGTAATCGTGCATCAAAACGGAAAAGGTGTGCAGATTGCGTGGGTTCCGAGGTGGTGCACGATAATGAGCATGGCACTCTAGTCAAATGCAGTTCTCGTAGGGGGCGAAGACCAAAGCTCAGGAGAGCTCGAAGCAAACGTGGGATTATCTCGATCATTTTGGTTTCGGGTGAGTAAATAAAGACCTTCACAGCCCTATACAGGATGAGAGCGTCTTCACTGATATTGCTAATTGATGGGCCGCGAAAGTGAGCAAATTGGATCGAAATTTGTAAAATTATTGAAAACTACAGGGACAGCGCTCCAGAGAAGCGCTCTTCCCCGTGAAATCGGGAAATATGAGAAAAACCAATTTTGAAATTTGAAAGGAGTCCAAGGAGGCTTGGTCTGGCGGTGTGGTATGCTGGCGTACTGGAAAACGCTGATCATGCTAAGATGGTTGAGAGATCGATCTCAGAGTAAATTCTTACTTTTCAAAGGATTCAAGAAGCCGAAAGGCAGTAGCAGGAAATCAGTTGTGCTGATCTCATGCATGGGACCTAGAACAAATCAATCAAGTATGCAGTTTTGGGTTGAACACGAAAGCACCGTGCGACTTCGCAGCTACTGAATACTTAGTTAATAGATCATTTTTGACCACAAACTTCAAAAGGAAACGTTCGAGTGGCGTTGAAATTTCGAAAGCAAACAAGGGAATGATGACGCAGGTGGGAATTTAGGCTCTGTGCAGAGGTGGGTGTGCCGTAGTCAGCAAACAAAAGCGAGGATCGGTTGCTCTGTGGCAAGACTAGTCCAGGAAATCGGCTAACAACTACCCAGCCAAGCTTATTCACCTTGAGCTTTTTCATGGGCAAAAACCACTTCGCACACTGTGCCTTTTTTGTGTAACGAAAAGAGTCTTCGGAAAAAAGCGCAGGGAAAATTTATATCGGGGTTGCGTTCGATCCTTCAGAGAGGATGGTGCTGGAGTTAGCGGACAGAACGGTTCCGACACCTCATCGCAGGTGTCGGGTTGTAATTCAGAAACTATCGGATATGTGCATGTCCCATTCCGGCCGCATAATTCTACGGGAACAATGGCAATTACGGGGTTGTACTGGGTTGGGATTCAAGGAGCCTAATTGTGTTGACAGGAACAAAGTCCTCACTGCTACTGGTTGAATGATGAAGGCGATGTGCTCAGATGGGGCTATAAAAGTTGTCAGTTATCAGTGAATGTCACTTTTAGTACTTGGAGGTTATGTTGGAATGAATACTAGCTGTTAAGGGTAATATTGGTCAAGTAGCAACTATTTCTCTGAAGCGGAAGAAGNTGATGAAGGCCATGTGCTCAGATGGGGCTATAAAAGTTGTCAGTTATCAGTGAATGTCACTTTTTCTACTTGAAGGTTATCTTGGAATGAATACTAGCTGTTAAGGGTAATATTGGTCAAGTAGCAACTATTTCTCTGAAGCGGAAGAAGATGGATACCGTCATTTCTGCAAAAATACCTGTTTGAATAGTTTTAGAAACCAAGTTTCAAATCCGACTCACTGTTTTCCACCGTTTGGCTTTGTTGTTATTTGTTGCGGATCCAATCTAGTGTAGGCCTCGAGATAAAACACCTACCCATGCCGGAAAAATTTTTTATATTTCAATATTTTATCCCCTTTTTGTGATGCTCACTGGTTTCGTTTTGAAGAACGTTTTCAAATGATCGAAATAATAGTTAGCCGACATTTTAGTGATTTTCTATTCCCTCGGGCTGGCTCGACCTTCTTTGAGGTTTATCCAGAACAGACATTGTCCGAAATGAACAAACCCATCTATCATAATTCTGAGTCATTCATTCAGAGAACAAAGCCTTCAATAAACAATTCAAGGGGAACAATAACACCAGTCATACGTCGATGAAAGTGCAGGTGTGTGAACGGGTTCGTCTGTGAGGCCATTGTCGTAGTTCGCTTGAAACATGGCCAAATAGCCAGGTGGTTAGCCGAAGAGAGGGGTTGTTTGAAAAAATACTGTAGTAGCACTTCAGATTTGATTCACGCTATGAGCATGGGCCAAACAGTCTTTTTATGGATATTGGGTGATTGTTCAGGAATAGTACAACCACTGCTAGAGCAGCTCATCACTTTGATATCTTTGAGGTCAGGGCTTTTTGGGCTTACAAGGCCATCTGGCTCTCCCGGGTCGGTGATTGCTAGAGTAACCAGGAACGATGAAAGCAGTGAAACCTTCAATCGTATCCTCAAACTTGAACTTGAGCAGTCCCCAACATATAGTGTGTGTGTGGGTTTCATCACTTCTCAGTTCTTTGCACACTCTGTGGATGGCTTCAGAAATCCCTGAAATTAATAAAATATTTAATGATGAATAAAAGGATAAAAGCTTTAGCTTAAATAAACCCCGTTTTTTGGTGGGGCCCACAATGACTTCCGTTTAGAATCGTAGCGGCATATTGAATGCGTTAAGGTCTATACAAGAACTTGCGGTATCTAGCGGATGTCCAAGTCAATGCTTTTATACTCTTAGAAGGGCCTGGTACCAATTAAAAGACCCAGGAGGTGCAGAAGGCTTTGTTGGAAAGGATGAGTGAAGTTTACGGATTCTATCTCCGGATCATGTGTGTGATGGCGCACAACTTGCCATTACACCACTCCCGCTCTAGGGGTGAAGGTAAATAGATAGATAAAAAGCAAATATCCGCGTCTACAAATTTAATAAGTGGAACAGGCTATAAAATCCAAGATTACCTGTGCCGCGTGGCTTTGAGTACTCGAGCGTTTTTATAAAAAGCGCAGAAGTGGTTAAAGGCTTAGAGAAGCTGACTCGAATGCATCCGCCCACCCGATGGTACCACGGATAACTTTTTGCAATGGTGATGGTAAATTGATGACCAGGCAACTTGGCGTAATTACCTCACAGTCTAGAAGAGAATTTTCGTCTTTATCCTTCAATTGAAAGTTTCTCTTGTTTTTCAGATTCTTGATTGATCGCCGATATTCCATCAAGAATTTGACTTAGACCCTTTGTCTCCTATCAGAACTCGAATGCATCCGCCCACCCGATGATCCACAGATAACCCCGATCCGAGGGAGGGCACGACCTGCAGCTTTCTTTCAGCTCAGTTTTAGAAGTCGATCACATACTTAGAGGGGAAAAAGCATCTTGA